TATATATATATCCTCCTTCACGACTGGACCAAAATGCGTGACTACTGTCTCCAACCACCAGTCAGAGAAGAAAAGACACAGAGGAGGGAAACAGAGGTTCAGTAAAAGAAAAAAAAGTCAATAAGCAGGGTTTGTACATTTTATTATCAGCTGAGCTGTGATGAAAAGAAAAATACCGTCAAATACCGTGAAACCGGTGAAAATGTTGAAAATACCGTGATGCAAAATTTTGATCATATCGCCCAGCTCTAGTCAGGATATTTACATTTCTCATCAACCACAATCAAATTCACTCTATCCATGGGCTCCATGTAGATATATTTCTATTTATATTTTTTTCTGAACACTGAAAAAATGGAATAAAAACAAGTCAAAGTTAAACAGAAATGAAATTCTTTTTGCATTTTTAAAAAGTAAGCAGTAGAAAGGACAGATAATTGAATTAAAATGTACGAAGTAGAAGTAAAAAAGTGGGCTGAAAAATAATTACTCCACTAAAGTATAAATAACTAAAATTACTAATTAAGTGAAGTATTTGTACTTAGTTACTTGACACCTCTGGTTGTATTTAAGCTACAAATAGTCCTCTATCAGAACTTTGGACCTGCAGACGTGTCCTCACATCAGCAGCACTCTGTCTCTCTCTGTAACTGAGGCTTATTTTTCAGTCTGCCTGTCTGCCTGTCATTAAAGAGGCAGTCAGAGGGTGTGTGGTTACCATCAGGTCAGCAGCTCCAGCTGATCCACATCCTGGTTCTGTTCAGTTTCTGTACTTTAGATGTTACAGGTGAACGTGCAGAACTCTATTTGAGAAGTGGACCAGAACCTTCTGGTTCTGATACCTCTGTGACTCGGTTCTGTATGACTCAGTGCTCCAGAGGAAATAATAGCTGTCTGCACGGATCCTGAGCAGAACCAGGACCGAGGTCGGTTCGGTTTTTAGACGCAGATGGTTCTGCGGTTCCTATAATCTCTGTGGTTCTGGGCGGACTCACAGATCCGGGCCTGAGCAGAACTGTAAACAGAACACGGGTCTGGTTCTGGTTCGGGTGACACACTGACAACAAGGCTCGGTTCCGGACTCACCTGGTGCGGACTGTGTGGAAGTAAACAGCGGTTCTGTTTCAACAGGAGTCCGCTGTCACTGGTTCTCCTCCTGCAGCCGAACCGGACCTCGGCCGCTCACTTCGTCCATGGACCTGATCTGTTCCCGGACCGGCTCAGCAGAGGCAGCAGCGGACTGGGGTCCTCCGGTGAGGGGGGGTACAGGCTCGTCCAGGAGGTCGCCACACAGCGGCTCGGCGGGTCCGGATCACTGGGAGCCGTCCAGTCCGAGTCTCCGAGCGGGCCTGCAGAGAGACTCGGTTCGGTTCGACTAAAAAAAAAAAAAAAGAACGCCGCAGCCACGGTCTGTAATCCACCGAGATGTTCCGGTCGGGTCCACGTCCTCCTGACAGTGTCTGAACAACACAGAACCTCTTTCTTCCTGACGAGCAGCCAGCGTCCAATCAGAGCTCAGGATCCAGACAGGGAGAGGAGGGACCAGGACTGGATCACAGTGGACTGGATTCAGAACCACGAAGGGACAGTCCCGCTGTTTTAAAGGAGAGTTCTGTGAAAACGCTGGGTATGGTTAAAGCACATGTCAAATACAAGGCCCGCGGGCCAAATG